TATATATATACTATATTATTATTATTATATATAGTATATATATATATATATATATATATATATATATATATATATATACAAGATATATATATACAAGATTATCAGATAATTCGTAGAATCTATCATGAATAAGTAGAGCGGGTTAAAATAAATAGAACTATATTCTTTACAATTTTCTAATAATTATTAATAAAAAAATAATTAACAAAATTATATCGAGAATCCGTATCATTTTAATTAATAAAAATCTGCGTGCAAATAAAAATTATTCGTGAAACTTTATTACTTCCTCATTAATTACTGAAAATTTCTGGTCATGATTATACCGTCTGTAAAGTCTGTAATTAGCCGGCAATAAATATACGTGTCCCTTTCTGCGGGACGCACTCTCACCCCTTGAAAACTTACTCCAGTACAGAACTCATTAAGAGTGGAAATGGCACACTCTCACGCAAATAGCCGCACATCAAATGGCATTCGAAATCGGACGCTTGCACAGCCTCGATACCTAGTGCACTCGTAGCGGAATATATCGAATTTAATTTTGATATTAAAGAGGTTTGAAATCGGAACCGTATTGTGAGAACAAAAGGTAGCGAATAACATTATTAACGAATACAATAGCGTGCGCAAGATTAAATTTTCAATAAAACACAAATCCAATTACACACTGTGGCAAGATACATGTAATAAGAAATTCTTTTAGACTGATTGAGATGATTGAATTTGATATTGAGACTGAAGAAAAAATTCACATTGAATGAAGATAGAATTTAATTTAAGAATATGAGATAAGGGTAACTTGTGAAAATTCTATAAAAAAGTATCAATTTAGTCTGACTAAAATCTTATACGTAGAGTAGGAAGAAATTAAAAAAAAAAAAAATTGATTGATCGATCGCTTGAGGCACGTTGTGTGATATATATTCGATGCATCCAATATCAATGTATACATATTACTGTGATATTTTAACATACTTCATTTTGCTGAACGAAAAATTCATAACCGTAAGCTTCCGGAGAGCGAGCGATCTGCATCTCTAATTTAATCGAATGCCGCTTCGATTCCTCGGATACGATAATTCAGAGATACGAAGTATTCCCTCGCCATTGATCGTTACGGGCGCAACGGGCATCGTGGTTCGGAGGGATGAAAATTGTCCGGTGTGGGTGGATGGGACATCGATGAACGAATGTCCTCCCCACTAAACCCGACGCTAAGAGCAACGTGGGAGTTTCCAAGGTCATCGCAAGAGCAAAACTACGTAGTACGACGCCTCCGCCGGGACGCCCGCGCATGAGGCGTTGGCGTGGAATGTACACACATATAAACTAACTATAAGGCGTTTCAAATTGCCGATAATAATTAAAATGCGTTTTACTATTAATTATTTAATATGATCAGAGTAAAGATACTTCTCAAGTTATGGAATAAATAATTATTATATATTGTTTTACAAAGAAATATGAAAGAAAGTAATCATAAATATTTATTTTGATTTTTTCTAAGAAATTTGATTTATTAAAAAATTATACAAATTATCATGTTCTTTTAATAATTGGTCATTACAGATTTTACCTTCATTCTCAATATCAAAAGAGGAATTTCTATAGTTCCTATAAAATACTTTTGAAAATATAATAAATTATTTCGCAAATAAAATATAAATTTAAAGGTCATTCGATAAAAATATTCGAAAAAAGCAAGAATCTCAAGAATATATTGTTTGTTATTTAATCAAAGGCAACAATTGCAATTTGAAGAGCAGTTCAAAGTTAAAAAACATTCATAACCGCATAGGCCATAAATCATAATTCTTCATTATTGTCGATTATTAAATATTTGTTATTAATAAATCTCAAAATATAAAAAAATTTCAATATAAAAATATCTTAGCAATTTTTCTTATAAGACTCATAGAAACGATGAGTACTGATTATATTTGCATAATATTTTTATATTACTATTCTAAAGGATGTGACACAAAGGATGCAAACGTAAACATCTTTAACAAATGCGAATGGTATTTTTACCAGTTACAATCACGATACCATCATCCTGCAACTCTTTCAGAGCATCTTCAAACATTTCGCGCGTCACCAACTAAAATAGAAAAAGAAATAAATTGAAAACAAACATACTTTCTATAAAGTGTATTGAAAATAAAGTGAAATGACGATGCAAATAAATAACAAGCAATAACAACACATAAATAATAATGAACAAATAAATTTACCGTGCTGGACGATTCTTTCAGTTCTGTGAAAATTTTCTGATAATTTAATGTCGGTGCCTTATCCTTGCCCTTGATGAGTTTCTTCAATGCTTCAACTAATTCCTGTCTACGCTTCCTCGCCGCTAACGACATACCAGTTGTCAAGATACTAATATCGATTTTACCACTTAGTGGATCAATGGCGGATTGTTTCAATGCCTCACGATGTAATCTGATAATAATATTACAAAAAAATAAATATTACAAAAAAAATGAATATTTGCAATATTTATCCTGCTTTTACCTCCAAGCTTCCTCGACATCTGTGATTTCTACCACATTACTGAATCGCATTTTAGCATGTGCCTCGGCGAGTCTTATCAGTGATTCTAATTGCCTCGGATAAGCCGTAATTTGTCCGTGACCACTTCCTACTCTGCGCATATCGACATAGGCTTGAATCAATCTCTGTTGACTCTCTTCGTTGAGAACAGGATGAATGTGTTCTTTGGCATAAGCTATGTAATCACGCAGGATGCTCATATCTACAATATCGTCCTCTTCTTCCATATCGGATTTATAATATAACGATACCAAATGCCTGGCAAGTTTTCTATCAAATACCTCATCCTGAGGGTCCAGCATGAGGAAAATTAAGTCGAAACGTGACATCAATGTGTGCGGTAACATGACATTTTCTATCACCTAAAAGTAAGCACAAAAGTTATAATGATGCTGTTGATTCTACATCAAATGTACATAATTCTTTAATGAATATTTACCGTCTTATTTTTATTCCACTGTGATTCGCAAGGATTGGCAGCTGCTAGAATACTAGTTCTCGCGTTCAATTGACAAATAATACCCGCTTTCGCAATACTCAAGGTTTGCTGTTCCATAACTTCGTGCAGCACCGAGCGCGTGCTATCGTTCATTTTGTCGAATTCGTCAATGCAACAAATACCATTATCCGCGAGCACCAAAGCGCCAGTTTGCAATACTAACTGACGGGTTTCAGGATCTTTCGTTACAAAGGCGGTTAAACCAACAGCGCTAGAACCTAAAAAGAGAATACAAGAAATATGAAACATGAACAAAAATTAAAATTGAATTTAAAAATATCAATTTATCAGAAATATTTACCCTTTCCGCTGCTATATTGTGAGCGCGGTACCAGATTGAAGACAAATTGTAATAGCTGTGATTTACTCGTACCCGGGTCTCCGCAAAGAAGTATATTAATTTCAGACCGAAAATGTTTCTTAGTTCGCTCGCTCTGTTCTTTCTTCGTGCCGCCGAACAACTGCAACAATATTCCTTTCTTGACGTCTTCATTCTCATAAATGCTAGGAGCAATGTGCCGCGCCAATCGTTCATATATGTCTTCCTTTTGCGACAGCAGTTTCAATAATTCTATTCTTTCTGGTGGAAACGCGTGATTCTTGCCATCTTCTTGCTCATATAGTCTGTATATGCAATAAAAATTATAAGGAAATGAGTAAAGAATATAATATTAATATTAGAATATTAAGTACAATATATATAATAAACTGATAAAACAATATTAAAAAATGGAAATCGATAAAATAAATCTATTAAAAAGTGAAATTAAAGTATAAGTTAAGGATACAGTATAAGTTAAGAATCTTACCGTTTTGAATCTTGTTTTCTGAAGTGGACAACGTCAATGTGTGTCCTGTAGATAGCTCGTACATTGGACTGTCGGGGATTAACGCGTATCGGCAACGCGCGATATATACCTGTGACAGAAACTCTATCACCTGGTGAGACAGCATCAACCAGATTATGATGTGCGAAAAGCACTACTGTATGAGGAGTTTGACCAGCTGGCATATCATCCGGTGATTCCTGTAGCTTGATCATTTGTTTGTCAGTGAAATGACTACGATTGTGAACTAAATTGAAGCAATAATTATTGTTGCAGTGAGTGCATACTGTAGGCTCAGCTACGTGACCCCGATCGAGGACCACAGTTGTCGTAAAAGAGCATACAATGCATTTAAAGAACGCCTCTCGCATCTCTGGTAGGATGTTTGACGATCTAATGACCATTCCAGTAACCGTGATCAATCGATCTATGTCCTCTGGATTCAGAAGACGCATACTCGTGGTCCTTGTAACATTGAAGGGACGTACTTGAATCGAATGTTCCAAGGCCGCCCCAGGAAATTTTTCAAAGAATATCTCATTCGCGGTCAAATCGAATGCTGGTATAACCTCTTGAGGATATATCACCAACTGATCATAAAGTTGGGCGTCAAATGCCTTGAGATGAGCACAGTTCACGTTCAAGTAAGGTTCTTCTAATATATGTATCTCCTCGAGCTTTTGCAAGTAAAGTGGTTCGGACAGATTCATATTTTCAGGCAATTCATCATTCTCAGCTTCCGGATCGATAAAGAACAGAACAAATCGTCTAAATTGTCGCTTGATCTGATCAACTACAACGTCAGTACCCCAAATTGTCAATTGTGGGCCATTCTCGGTCTCGGATGTTCTCTCATCATTTTCTGGTATCTACAAAAATTGTTATATTAATAATTTAATAATTGTATCTATCTTTTAGATCCATTCTATCAATTTAGATTAACTTTAATTATCAATTACTTTGTTTTTCTAGTTTTTAGAATTAAAAAAAGATAAAAGTTAAATCAAGATTAACATTAATTTTTATATATTAATAAAAATGAATATTAATATATTCCTATATATTTTTACTACTTACTTCGGCTAGATTAATTTGCCGTACACGTCTGTCAGACTGGACATCTGGTCTCTGTCGCATAGGCGTACCTCTGACACCACTACGAGGCGTACGAATCGATGCCAGTGAGCTGGGAGTTCCATAATTCAATGGAGAAGACAACTCTATCTCACTCATACCAGCAGCAAGAGGGCTTGTCTGTGCTTGTTGAATCGGAGAAGACAATGGTACAGAAGACAAACCTTCCGACGATGGTGCGATAGTTTCCTGTGTTTGACGGTTGCCCCATCGTAACGGAGTGTCCACTGGATTGTTGCCCGATCTCCTCTGAGGTGTACCTAGATGCGGCCCAAACAAAAAAAAGGAAAAATAATACTACAACTCGAGTATAATCTTCTTAACGAAGACAATTGATAGGTAGTTCTTTCTTAAATTCTTTTACCTTGTCTACCAGAGCCCGCGACGCTAGGCGTTCCGGCGACCGAGGGTGTCCTGACAGACGTCGGGGTTCGTTGCTGCCGCCTTGGGGTACTGTTCGGCGACCGATTATCATCCTGCGGAACAGGAGTCCTCGGTGGTCTCATAGGACTCGACATCGTTGACGATGATCACCTTGTATTCTGTTTCTGATCCTTCCAAACACGCGCAAAGGATCAATCCCCGCGTATGCGGATAACCTTACAAGGCACTCAATTTCCCGCGCGAACGCGAGATCAAGCTTCTCGAGAGGGCGTTGGTGCAGATCCTGCAATTATTTTTTTTTCCTCTCCTTTTTTGTGCGCGTGTGACCAGCTGATCGGTCAGCGCACGTCGCGTCGGGACGCGTGCTGAGAGGAGGCGTGCTGTCGCACGGGGTCGAGGAATGCCAGCCAGGCTCGAGAGATTGGTCAGCCACGAGGTCGTGCTCTCGATCGCGCAGAGCGGACCGTGCCAAAGGATGCTGCGCGGCGAATGAACCCACCTCCTACCACGCGTTCGAGACTATTGACAATCACCGAATGCGAGCGCACGCACGACGCTCGCCAGACTCATTGCTGAACGTGCCGAAGATGCGTCGATCACGGCTTTCCACGGTTGTCCAGTAAATTCTATACTTGTAAATTTTAGTGCGTTTAGGCAGGATCCCCCTCCCTCCCCCCGCGAGTAATCGCCACCTATGACGTGACACGTGCTCGCTTCGCTGTTGAAGGACTTTGTTCATTCGCTTTGTATATTTCCAAGCAGAAAAATTTGGTAAAACATTGATACGCAATAAAACATCCAAATACGCATTTATGTTACATTACACTTGTTGATATAATGGTAAATATGCGTTAATTTGCGTGAAACAGTTATTTCATATGCTGTGCATACGACGCTTGTGTTTTTTTCACGTACGTTTGTCTTACGAATCACTGTATGATTTGTTACTCAGGCAAGAACCATGTCATATTCCATCAACAGAAGACCTTTGCTGGGAGGTGCGTCTGATAGTGAATTTGAGGATGATTTCGAGACCGAAGTAGATGATCCTAACATCACAATACCTGATGAAAAGCCGTTTTTGAAACCCTTTGAGCTACATGACAAGTATGTTTTTGGGATATTTAATCTAAAAAAATTGCTTATCAGCAAAGACCTTTCATGACCTGTATCTGTAATTTTGTATATTTCAGATATAATCTTACATATATTGTATTTTATTTGCTCGGAATAAATACGTTAATTCCATGGAGTTTTTTTATTACTGCTGACGATGTAAGTATTTTTTTCATATTTGTCTAGAAAATTACTGTCTATAATATATATCTTCTTCTTTCAGTACTGGATGTATAAATTTAGAGAAATTCATAATAATTCGACGAATCTTACTCATACATATGCAGAGCTGCTTGAGCAGAAAACAGATCTTCAAGCTAGTTTTACTTCTTATTTAAGTGTAGCCAGTGCATTGCCAAATACCTTGTTTTTAATAATAAATGCATTCATTAGCAAAAGGTGAGTAAAGAATTATTATTAAAAAACGCTGCCGACGTAAAAAGTTTTTAAAATATTCATGATACATTTATTCATGAATGATTCAACATTGCTGCAATCTTAATTTTTCTTGGAAAATTGAAATTTTTAAGATTAATTTGTTTGGCATTGAAAATTATGAAAAGAATATGCAGTATTTTGTGTATTGATACTGTTTCAAATTTTTTTTTGTATAGAAAAAAAGATGAAAAGTAATAACTTTAAATAATAATCTAAGCCATATGTTTTTAAAACGACAAGACTAGATGACATCAATCGGTAGACAGAATCTTATTACAGTATTGAATAATTTTTCTTTCGTTTTTTTTTGAATATATATAAATTCAAGACAAATGCTTTATATCACGATTCATGTGTCGTTAACTTATCGAACTTGCAATGTAGCCCGCTCAAAGCAATACATAGATTCCCTTTTTTAATAAATTTCTGATAATCAATTTCTGAAAATCGATTAACTTCCCATTCAATGAAATTCTTATTATGAAAAATATTACCTCAGGAATCGAACTTGGATCGCTCACTTTACGTGCAAGTGTCTTAACCATTCGATTAGACATGTAGCAATATTTATCGCAATAATTAGGTAAATAATGAGAAAAAACGTTTGCCAATGTTGCAAGTTGCGGTAAATTAACGACACGTAATTCGCGGTATAAAGCATTTGTCTTAAATATATATATATTTTAAGGAAACGAAAGAAAAATTATTCGACACTAAGACCCTCTGTCTATTAATCTATTCTTGTGATTTTTTAACTTTAATTCATGTGTCAAAAAAGTAGAAATAATATTTAATTCAAATCTCTAAATTCTCAGAATTTCTCTAACTGTTCGAATGGTGGGTTCACAATGTACAATATTGTTACTATTCATCTTGACGACTATATTTGTCGAAATGGATACTGACAAATGTAAGCCAGCAAATTATTTTGTTTATATACTTATTCATTATGATACATTTATCGTATTAAATAAAATAAACATTTATTTTCAGGGCAAAACACGTTCCTAATAATTACTTTGACAACCGTTGCGTTTGTAAATGGTATGCACGCTAAATAATATTTATAACAAAAATATAAATTTATTATAACAATAATGTAAACTTCTAGCTGCGAGCGCAATTTTTGGAGGCAGCCTAATGGGTATAGTGGGCAAATTTTCGCCTAAATATATAACCGCTATGTCTGGTGGTCAAGCCCTTGGCGGAATATTCACGGCCCTAGCGGAAATATGTTCCTTGTGGATAGGCGCTAGTCCAGTCCTTTCTGGTTTAGTCTATTTCATTATTGGCAATATCATGCTTTTATTATCGCTAATTGCGTATATTCTTTTGGAAAGGACGGTAAGTTAATTTCGTTTAAACAAAATGTATTTTAGGATTATCGTACCACGTTTTCTTCAATCCGATCAGAAACAATGAGATCATCATTGACACTTATTGTTTAAAACGATGATGCATCTAGCACATGTGTTTTATAAATGTATGATAAGCTGCTTATGATAATAACATTATATATGTTCCACAACGTATTGTATTATTGTAACATATCGTATTAGAGGTAGAAAGATTAAATTATGTAGAATTCATTTTAACACATTCACTGCCATAGAGAAAACTGCTAAAAGAAGATCCGTAATGCAGAAATTTAAAAAAATATCAAACTTTATCAATGGAAAATATTTTGATATATAACACGCTATTTTAAGCGAGTATTAGATATATGATAATTGATGACTGAGATTAACTCACTCAGATGGGTCACAGGTAGTGAATGTATTAATACAGCAGCTTTCAAACATTCTCGATAGTAGAATTCAAATTCTCTTTTTATTAAATTCATGGAATCCAGTTTCAAATCGTTGCTTTATAAAATTTTTTCTTTTACAGTCATTTTTCAAGCATCACATGATAGAGAAAGTATCTGATCGTTTGGAATCTGATTATTCTATAAATGCAGAAGTCAGTTTTGCGGCAAGTCCAAGTGTACCCTACGTGCGGATCGTAAAGAGAATCTGGCATTATGGTGTTAGCATATTTTTAGTATTTTTCATATCTTTAACCGTGTATCCGGCGGTCACTGTGCTAGTGGAGAGTCAATACAAAGGCAAAGGCTATGCATGGAATGGTAATCCGAAATCTTTGAATATTTTATATATGTTTATATATGAGAGAGTGAGAGAGAGTGAGAGAGAGAGAGAGAGATATTTAATATGAATTCATGAATGTAATTCGAAATAATTTTTCAGATATATATTTCGTACCTGTGGTTACATACCTCATTTTCAGTATGGGCGATTATGCTGGTAGAATTTTATCTGGTATTTTTCAATGGGTAAGGATTCGTATTTTAATATGATCAAACACTACGTGATGCTTACAATCTTTGTCGTTGCAGCCTAGAAACAAACCATGGCTTATAATGTTCATGAGCATCGCTAGGGCCATTTTTATACCTGTGTTCATGTTTTGTAACGCACAACCGAGGCATCATCTATTCGTTTACATTCATAATGATATATATTATATCTTAATAACCATTGCATTTGCTGTAACCAACGGTTATCTCTGTAATTTAACGTTTATTCTTGTGCCCACGTAAGTATTTTTAACCGTAAAAACACTGGTCATCAAAAGATATCTATAATTGTATGTATTATCTTTACAGAGTCGTAGATAGTCAAGAAAAAGAAATTGCGTCTGCAATGATGGGTGCTTTCTTAGGTATAGGATTAGCATCTGGCGCTGCGCTTAGTTTATACATGGTGAAGGCTCTTTAATGATTGATCCTATAACTGAAGACGAATGTAAATGAAATATATGATCTCATCACTGCCCTTTATACATTCGAACTCGGGTAGGATCACGCGAATGTTTTATGACTACATGATATTAACTTAAATCTGTTCATTTATAATACTCGATCGTCATCTCGGTAAACATTGCTATTAATTCGTAGATCTTTCCTTTGAGAGAAATTTCGCAGTGGAAAATTAGAACAGAAATCTATATCAGACGTTATTTTTACTAGTTTTAAAATTATTTTATTCTAGGACTGTATGATGCAATTTTGTATCATATTTAACTTTACTATTCGGACATAGTAGTTGACATGTGTCGAATTACTAGACATAAAATGTTGATGTTATGCATAAAAATCATTCTTAGAAATTTATATATAATTTATAATACATTTATTATATAAGTTCTAAGATAAAATGTGTGTAACTACAGACGTTAAATGTACATATGATATATCAAGGGAACAAATATATAAAATATTTGTAACTCTGATAACATTGTATAAGTTATGTACATTTATTTTTAACATAGCATCTGCATTAAAGAAATATATATATAATTGACGTGTGAAATAGAAAGGATATACAATGAATATTAGTATTATTGATACGATATTAAACTCGTTATACATAAACAATTTTACATATTGTTATCAATAAATAAGTCTTAATTACATAACTCTCTTTATCTATGTAAAATAAAACCTTAAAGAAATCAACAAAATGAAATTACTATGAGACACATAAATAATAAATAAATACATAATTAGATGATAAACTTACATATATAAAATATTTAAAATATTAATAGATATAATCTTTTCTTATTTTAAATAAAAATTTTTAGCAATTACAATAGATTTATCATTAGCACTATAACTATAGAACAGGCATTAGTCTAAAGTTTATCTTTTTGTAGCTCTCTCTCTCTCTCTCTCTCTCTCTCTCTTTATATCCATTATTATTTAATTTAAATAACTAGTAAACTAGGAAATATATGTTATATATACCAATATATAATATATATACTTAATATCATTAATATAATTATACTTAATATAATTAATATCATTATGCATTCAAATACAAAACTAAATCTTTTTTAAATCTAAATTATTTAAAACCAAATATCTTGTAACTAGAAATGATGTTTAATTATTTTTTTCATGAAGCAGAATAAATTAATAGAAGACTAGACTTATATTAAAATCTTTGAAATTGCGAAATACTCTCATGTCAGATTTTTTATTAATCTTTGCAATAATTTGGAACAAATTTGCAAGTGCCTTACAGAACAAAACTGTAATTCAATTAATTTTTTACATGTATACATATATATATATTCTCATATATAGATATATACTTTTATGTGAATAAAGCTATCAACATGAGAGGTTTAAAATAATAAAATAATATTCAAAACTGTAAATAATAAAATGGCGCTCTCTTATTGGAGCTGACACATGCCTCATGATCGACGATACTGCCGTTCCTTGTCAGTGAGTGGAACAAATACCACGCTTATCAGGGATCGTTGTTTGATTTTGCCATCCAGAGTCTTGTCAACTTGCACTAAAGTTTGGTCCGAGTTCTCTGGACCCATAGGCACTATTAAACGTCCACCAGGTGCTAACTGATCTATCAGCTTTAAGTCAAAGATTATCGTTGTAGTGTCCATTCTAATATATTCAGAAATAAGTCAGCATATTTGAACGTTTCTTACTGATTGTGGCATTTCTTTGGCGGCTGCTCCTACGTGAATAGCGTTGTACGGTGCACGTGCAGGATATCCCAATCTCCCATCACCGACTGAGCAAACAAAATCCACAATTAGCTTATTTCATCATATCGAGAGAAATTCGTGATACATAAGACTATATACATAATTATATGAAAATGGATTTTTATTTACCAACTAATTCCACACGTCCGTCCTTCAAAAGTTCTGGGTGGTCATGCCGTATGTTCTCTTCAGCCATTGCTCGAAGCTCTGGAATGTGATCGATTCCAACAGCCAGCCCATGTGAACCCATCATGAGAGCCATGCATGCTGTCAAGTATCCAGATCCAGAACCAACATCTAGTGCCCTTGTGCCATTGCGCAGTTTTTCTTCAAGCAATTCCAGGGCATACGCGTGCTAAAGAATTTCCGTTTGTCTTCCAACTTGTAATGTCCTTTTTTAGTGTTTTTTTTGTCAGTGTAAATCCATTTATTTATTATTATGAAAATTGTTCTACTTTTAAAACAAAATTTTTTAATGAGTGACAATGAAAACAATGAAAATGGAGCTAGATTTACAAATATCTTGTGATATTTTTATGCAATGAATTATACCATATGAGGAGCGCTGATGGTGACACCATAGCCAATTCCTTGTGGCGAATCTATATAAGCATGACTGGGGTGAGTATATTTTCCTCTGTCTACAGAACTCATTACTTCAAACACTTTGTCAGACTTGATCACCCTGGAACCTAAAAATAATTTTATTATAAAGTAAATATTTTTATTGAAAATATAATCAATACTTCAGTAAGCTAACGCTATTGTGTCATATCTTGCATCAATCAATATCATGTTGTCATCCTGCCAATAAAATTTATAACATTTTTTTTTAGAGACCAATTTACAACATTTTAGAGGCCAATTTTACAAAGATATAAATTTTACATGTATTTTTTCACGTCAATTTTTACATTATCTATTTACTTATTTTCAATTAATACAAATTATTTCAAATTCAAGTCTATTGCAAAGTATTTTTTATTTTCACGAGTTTTTTTTTTTTTAACCAGAGCTAATTTTTAAATTCGAACAAGACAGATTGTAAATATTGCATCAAATATTGCGCTGTAATTCTAAATCAATCTTCCGACGTCGAGAGCGGCGGCGTGCGGCATGCCGGCGAGGGGCGGTGCGCGATGACACAACGTTGCATAATCGCGCAACACTTACGCCGTAGATGTTGCACGAGCTCCTGATTATTCCTGCCGTGATAACGCCCGTACGTGGCCATGTCGCGGGCGAGGGCGACCGGCGACAGGATCGCGAGCGTCGCGCAAAGACACTCGACGACGCGGGACCGAATCTTGGGGAGATACGTGGCGACCGGCGTATAGATGAAAACAAACGGGGGGGAGACAGGGGACAGCTCGCGCCGCGAATTGACCGGCAACCTGTCACTTCCGGGGTCACCCGGTGTGATCTTCGCGAAACCCCACTCGGCGGGTCACGGCTGACGTGTCTTGCGACGCAATAAACAAGTCGAGTCAGATATGCTCGGGTCCTCGATGATCGTTTCGCTTCTGCCTTTTTCGTTTCGGAACTGACGACTCGCTATTTGTCTGCCGGCGATCACAGTGAAACGCGACCAGATGCGACTAGACCGGGTCGACGTGTGAATTTCGAGATAGCCGGTAATCGTTGAGCAATCACTCGTCCGTTCACGCACACGACTCGACACGAAACGACCTTCGCTCCGCGTTGGAGAACATTCGCGCGCGAAACGAACACGCTGCGCACGTCCTGCGCTTTTAAAAATAGACGAGGAGGGGCCGCCAGTCACCGGTGGGTTTACGCTTCGCCCATAAGCGGTCTGAACAGCGAGCTCTGATTGGCAGATGCCTTTTTCGATCGATCGCCCGCGATTCCTCTTGAAATCAGGAATTGCGACGATAAACGATAATTATATTCTTTTTTAACTTACGTGTAGTTCACTGTGCTGCCAACGAATGTGAACGTAACTCACTCAATTTTGCTTTGTTATAAATAGTAAAGCTAAAAATTCAATTTGAAGTAGATATAGTAGTTTATTTTCTTTTTAATTTGGTTTTTAAACTATAATATTTGTATGAATAAAGTTAGAGATTTTCTAAACATAAGAATATTAAGTAAAAAAATATACATTTATAAAATATAATGACATACTTCAAAACATGTTTGTTACAATTAAAAATAATAAACAAAGTTTTATTGAAAATTTATTTCTCCATTATTTTCATTTTTTAGCATTATTTTCTTTATCAATTTCCAAAAATTTCAATTGGAAATTTCAGTATAAAGTAAAATACATTAATATCACTGTGAATTTAAAATTTCATGATAACATTGCAATAACATGATAACAAGCGATATATAATCGCAATGCTAATAGAATGGGTGAAATGGATTTACATAATAAAGGAATAATTAAAGACATGTACAAAATATATATAATTTATTGATGTATTCCGAATTGAAAACAAAATGTAATTCATATCTACGCATGTGCGAAAGAAAATTAATTCGTAAATACAAAAATTTCGATCAATTTCGTTAATCAACAAGTTCTCGTACGCGATCGTTTAATCGTCCGCTTAAAAATTTTTAATTTCCTTTCCCCACCGTGACACCTCACCTCAGAGATTCTAATTACGCAATTGAGTAGTAGGATCCGTCAGAGGAACGTAAGAGACTTGCATCAGTTTCTTCTTCGTGATCGTGCCATCTGTGTTCTTATCCACCTGCAGGAGGTCTTGGAACCTTTGGAAACCTTCTATGGCTACGACCGGGCAGATCAGTCGACCTCCGGGAGCCAGTTGATCTATCAGCTGCAAGAGTTACATTACACCGTTTATGCGTAATTTACAATTTTTCATCCATGCTTTCCCTAACTGCGTGCCGATACAGTTACACCGTTTGTGCTCACCGTCTGCGGTAAAGTCTCAGCCGCTGCTCCAACGTGTATAGCGTTGTAAGGGCCGTCAGCAGCGTGTCCCAATCTGCCGTCTCCCACTAGGCGCATTCATAATGACCTGTCGTTAGTCGGCAGTCTTTATCTTTTACCTTTACAGCAAAGCCACACAGTTGGTGGACAGTGTTCCGTTTGATTCTTCACGGCAACGTACATACCTACTCCACGTGGATGGATCACGAGTATTTTTTATTCAAACTATGCATACATGTAATACGTTTTGAACGTTTCCTTCTCATCGTACTATGAGTTTTACATTGAGAAAAAGATAATGAAACGTGAAGGAATGGCGTAACATTGACGAGAGGAGGAGATTCGACCGTGTGAGTGAGAGAATGTACAAGAGACCAATAGCAGTGAGGATTATAACAGCATACTAGCGACTTACCGACAAATTTGATGCGGCTCTCCTTGAGAAAATGTGGATTGTCCTCGCGCACGTTCCTAGTAGAGTTCTCTATGAGTTCAGGAATGTGCTCGATACCTATCACGCGTCCACGCGTGCCTACCATGGATGCCATACAAGCGGATAGGTAGCCTGAGCCTGAACCAACGTCGAGTGCCTTGGCACCATCAAAGAGTTGATCAGATAGGATAGACAGTGCATATGCATGCTGCAAAAAAAAAAGATACGACAGACGTAATTCATCAAACCATTATTAAGTGAGTTAAATAGAAAATATATTATTTTCAATGATAATGGTTTGTGTGATATCTATACTGTTGTTCGGAAAATCTTTCAACGTCAAACCAAATATGAGTTTAACATCAATAATGTAAAAATAAGATAAGAAGGTTATTCCGATACCCCCATTTCAAATTGCGTTCCTGATAATTGTTCCTCTATCAATTTCATTATACATACATATAAAATTTACTTATCTTTACTCAATATATGTATAGATATTTGGCATATATGATATTCAAAAATATTGAACATTAAGTTTAACATTCACTTATATTTTATATAACAAACTAAAAAGATGTTAATGCTATAAGCAAAGTTGAAAGAAGAAATCTGCTAAAGTTTTATATTTGAATAATGAATTGACTACATAAAAATATATCAATGATATATCATTGCAACATTAAATATATTTTACTGTGGAATATTAAATTATATTCCTTATAATACCAAAGCGACAGATAATCCATTCATAAATTCACTCATAAAAAATATCAGTTTAGGATTGGAAATAGATAAGATATAAATTTACCATATGCGGCGCACTGATCGTCACGTTGTAACCGATTCTTCTGGGACGGTCGAGATAAGGGTCCGGCTCGTGGCAGTATTTGGCTCTGTCAACAGCGAGCATGGCTGCTTCTGCTCTGTCTGTCGCCAATATGCCAGCATCTGCAAACAATCTGTTCCTAAGTGCCGTACAAACAATACGATCTTTATAATACGGTCTCTAACAAAAAAGGAACATTCGAGGCGCAATTAAATTAATTCGTCCACCCCTCAATGCATCGATCCTGCGACGTTCGCAGGGGGGTCATTTACCTTTCAGCTTCGTCACCATCTCTTGATTCGTAGTGCCGTTGCAGTGCCATGCCATGCTTCGCGGACTGTTTCTGTCACAGGCTTTGTGGCGCAGCCGAGAGGAGCTCTGCCTTTGCATAAAACAATATACAGATCACATATGACGGACTGACGGCGGACGCATGACGACGCTCTTTCCAATAATCGTACAATTCAAATCGCTTCTAGCTCGGACGATAATGAACGATCGACAACGGGGATCTGAAAAGCAGAAAGATAGAAGAAGCGAGCGCACCTTGACAGCTTCAGAGGAGCCTCATTTATTGCGAAACGTTCTCATTCCTTTTGTACGCGTGTCTAATATGGCCGTGAGGGGATTGGGGATCAGGTATAGCGACTTTAAGGGAGAATCACTGGTGACTTTGGAGAGGGGGGGAGTTAAGGGGAGACGTGAAACAGCTGATGCGGTGGCTATCGATTCGCCTCTCGCCGCGAGATAAGAACGCTCGACCCGAGCGCGGGTATCTCTGTGCAAATTTAAATCTTGCGAGTTGAAAAAACTACGGAACAAGAACTTCGAATTCAGAAAATCCTAATTTAATTCTACTAATTAATCAGAAATTATGGGTTAGAATAAAACTTGATGCTACCTTTCCCTTAACCAGATCGATCTCAGGTTTCGCGAAGCGGACGAAGAACGACTCGAGCTGTACGTCATGGGAAGACGTCCTCGGTTATGTAATTGCTATAATTCTATTTGCGATTGTTGCTGCTATTGGAAACGTTGAATGTTGGCTGTCGAATTCATTTTAGATCGTGTGGATCGTAGACACGAAACATTTGCGCGCGGACGAAAGTTTCGAGCGCGATTGGAGGATTCCTTCTCCAATCGGACGCTTCAAACACCTCGATTGGTCGATTTCACATGAATTGCGTCGCGGGTTAGCCAATCCGGCATAATTGGCTCTAACGCGCCAATCGAGATTTGAATTCAAAAAGTGCTCGATAAATCCCCGGAATAAATCTTTTTAAATAAAAAAGGATTTCGAGAACAAAAACGATTGTGTAAAAGAAATCGAAACCGAGGATGACTTGAAACACTCTGTATATCCACGTTACCGCTCGAAATATGATTACAAAAAATCGTCACATGTATTATTGTGTGACGAAAGTGCAAACGTACGTTTCCCTATCGTGTCGTAATTAATTTTTTGCGCCAGGTCATAATTTTACTAATTAATCAGGACTCGCGTCGTTGAACGGCGGTAAATTAATTTTCTTCTGTATAGTGTGCCGAGATGCACCCCGCAATAAATTATCGCGATGCATTCCTACCTTGTACATGACACGATGATTTAAAATGAGAGACATGAGATAAAAGAAACTGTGCTTCATTCGAAATCGTGCGAATTCGCGTTTCACGTGAAAGAAAAAAAATATTTTGCATCACGATCGTTAAGCATATATAACGTGCCAACAACGATATCTTGGATATCTTTTATAAGAAACTTTTAATTACGACGTCAATGTCAGTCTATCTTACAATCATATATTCGAGTAGACTATGAGTAACAAAAATAGGATCGTTATTCTATCGACGTGTACGTGTGTACATATGCATGTGTGTACATGTGTAAAAAATATATCTTAGAATTTAGGCCGAGAAATAAGTGATTTCTTTTTTTTATCGATGGAATGTTTCCGCGTTTCTTGTGATGTAAGAAACGAAAATTTATCAGATACGAACACTTGTACACACATGTCTTTGACTTCCTCGGCGCCTTTGGTATCTACGAACCACGAACGTGATTGCATCGATGTTTCTCTATCCTAGTTAATAAACTTCTTTAAGTCGCTGATGAATCTTCGATAAAGCGGAGTGTTTGCCATGTACACAGAGCAGTCTGTATATTATTTACGCGCTTTTATTAACGAGTGACAAGAGACGAGATAAGGAGACCCCTTCCTGACAAGAATTTCCGCGCGAATAGCAATCGCTATAAATCGAATTACAGCTTGTTATGCAAGTTTAGTACAAAACGGGCATTCTATTTGTACCAATGCGCTGGTATTCCGTCGTTCGTGAATCTCATTCCTTGTCAATCCTTTACGCGAAGTCGACAATAATCGCGAAACGCTCTGTCTGGAAAAACGTGCGATGGAGAAGCTCGAAAAGCCGCTGAAGGAGCCGGGAAAGTTGCGGCAGTTTCTCGCGGCATTGGTGGGTAAGTTGGAAAAGGGATAGACAATTCCTTTTCTTCCCTGTCTCTTCTTCAGGAATGGAAGAAATATAGAGCCATGATGTTTTCTGATAAACGGTAATGCGAGAGATAATGATTCCTGTGACTTCTTTTCGTGCCGATGATTGTGATAGTCCTTAAAATAGAAAAGATAAATGTGTAAAGAGAATAAAAATATTCAATGTTAATTGACACTTAAACGGTAACATAAAATTGTCAAGACTCAATGAGTGATTAATTTGTGTTATAAATTCTTGCACTAAACTAACTAAATTAATAACATACAATTAAAAGAAAATATCAAATAAATTAGGAAGCTTCTGTTAGACTTACATATATCATTCTTTGTGATATTTATATTTACAGTAAATCTGCTGGCACTGTCCTACGGGCTCGTAATGGGATGGCAATCGCCATCAACTCCGCAGTTGCAGAGCTCGTCGCCGCCTGTAGGAAAGGAACCCATGACAGACGATGCTGTGTCCTGGTTGACCGGGATATTATGCCTGAGTGGTACTATCACGACCACGTTACTTGCAATAATACCCGACAAGTTCAGTCGGAAGAGATTCGGCTACGTAATAGGACTACCGATGATGCTCTCCTGGTTGCTGATTGTCTTCTCCACCGAGCACATATATATTTATGTGGCGAGAGCCCTCGGTGGTCTTGCTGGCGCCTGTCTCTTCTGTCTCGTATCGACCTACGTATCGGAGATTTCATGTGATAGCATCCGCGGTATGCTGGCGAGTATACTGGTATTCTCCGTAAATTTTGGAATATTATTGAGTTATATATTAGGCGGAATATTGTCCTTCCATGCCTTTCCTATAAGCGGCGTGATAATAAGTGTGTTATTCTTTATCACTTTCACCTTCATGCCGGAGTCGCCAGTCTACTTGGTACGCCAAAATCGTATGCGTGAGGCAATTAGGTAAGAAGCACAAAGAAATATCTTTTAAGAATTAAACATTACTCTTCTTGTAACATTCAAGTCTATGAATATACTGTGATTTGCTGTTCTAGGTCCTTGAAATGGTTGAAAGCTGGAAACAGTCTGGTGGCAGAACGTACATTGTCGCATATACAGTTTCAAGTTAAAGAAGTCGCTTCTACGAGATCTGCTAAATTTTCGGATTTATATAGAGACAAAGCCACAATTAAAGGATTAATAATTAGTTTTGGTTTGTTCGCTGGCCAACAATTCTGCGGAATCTTTGCGATGGTAATTATAGGCAGTTTACGGATAATTTATGAGTTTAGTGATTTAACATAGTGTTCTTCTTCTTCAGATTCCTTTATATTATTTTTTAGATTCTTGTCTGTTTGAAATCACACTGTTTGAAATCTATGAGTGAAACAATAATAGTCCAAATTTTCTTTTTTCAATTATTTTGCCAATTGAATAATATAACAAATGATAAAAAATTCCATAAGATTTCAATGATTAAAATTCGATCTTGTTTTATAATTAAAACGGCATTATTAAAAGATGTTATTTTTTATAAAATTAAAATGTTTCTAGAAGTTTTTGATTTTTCCAGCTCAGTAACACGGAGACCATCTTCAGGATGTCCGGTAGTTCGTTATCGCCGAATATGTCAGCTATCATTGTAGCAACTATACAACTCGTTACATCGATGTTAGCGATGTTCTTGGTGGAACGTGCGGGTAGACGGCCTTTGCTTCTCCTATCTTGCGCAGGAATGTTTGTATGTCACTGCGTGATGGGCGTATTCTGTCATCTTCAGAGTCTGCAGTATGAGGTGTCTGCCTATGCTTGGATACCAGTGATAACATTGTCTGCTTACATGTTGGTATATGGCCTGGGAATGGGTAATATACCCATCGTGATGACGACCGAAATATTCAGTCGTGATGTAACCAGCTTAGGTACAACCGTAGGTCTTATTATAAGTTGGGGATCCGCCACTATCATGACAAAATGCTTTACGGATATTGTTGCTTTATTAGACATGCATGGCTGCTTTTACCTCCTCGCCATTTTCTGCATGTGCACCTTTTTATTCGGTTTCATATTGCTGCCAGAAACCAAAGGTCGAGCGCGCGAAGACATTGTGGATGAATTGAACGGTGTGCGGTGTACGAAAAATAAGAACAATGCTAAGCATATCATTGGCACGGATTCAGCGGCGCATGCGGCACATGTGTAACAGTGTAATATTAACATCCAAGATGTCCAAAAATTTGCACTTAATAACATCGTAACAAAGAAATTCACGAAACATTAGCATTTTCATCGTTTAACTTTTTTTAATACAAATGTAATAATTTGTACATTCTACATAAGTACACAGAGAAAGTTATGTGTCATCAGTTGTTATTGCAATTATGCAATAGTTCTTTTATACTCGCATTAATTTTTTATTTAATCCTTAGAGTTCACTCTTTCATACTTTCATTTAAAACTTTGTATCGGCCCAAATATATTACATGTATAATGTATTAAACGCTTCACTTAGTATAACAACGTATACACGTGATTAAATATACAAGTCATTTTTTTTATTTATAATGATTTATAAAGAAAATGAGTCTCGTTTACTTCAGCCGACTGTTTCCTGAAATTTTATTTTATTAATGTAAAATTTATCAGCAACAATATGCATTTATGTAATCATATTATCTCGCAGGTGCATATAGCACATAAAATGTAAATGACACATGATATGTATGACATATATTGACACATGATATATGGCAGACAGAATTGACAATATTGACGATGTTAATAATATGTTTAAATAATGCTAAAACAAACTAACGAGAATAAATGTTAATCAATGCGGCTATTATATATTAATTGTTCTTATTAAAAATAAGAACAAAAGTTGTATAAAAAAATATTCGTAAAAAAATTGTTCTAAGTGATGATTCTTAACAATGAATAATATTTATTAGTTGTGCATTAAATAGTATTAAAGTTATCATATGTTAAAAATTAATTAATATTATAGGATCAGAATTTTTATATAAAAAAGAATAAAATTTTTATTTACAATTAGAATTATACATTAATATTATATCAATGTACGTACGTGTATGTGTAATATATACACAGTTATGATATTTGTATAGATATATAAAGTACTAATTTTTCTTATTTACATGTTAATATATATGAGTGAAGACTCTGCTACTTACATAAATGCCTAAGTATTATGCTAATTTAATAATACACATCCATGATTTTGTTTCAAAAATATTTTAAGCGTAAATTAAAAAATAAAAGATTATATCATTTTTCACAAATGAATATCACAATCAATCATCATTCATTCTTTTGCGCACGTTTTTGTTACCAATTTTTCTCTTCTTGAAGGTAATGGGAATCCCTTCATCATCACTATCACCAGTACTAATCTGAATAACAGTTTTTTCCTTAAAAGTCCTTTGAGGTGGCAGCGGCTCTATTTTCTCAAATGTGGGTAACTGTATCTGTTTTTGTTTTGGTAATTGAAGGTCCACAGGATTCTTTTTGCTACAACATTAAATATTTCTGCATTTATCTTTAGACGACGAAAAAATAGTGTAAAAAGTTAATTAATCTTCGAGCAATTTTATTCTACAACGTAAACAAGTATTATGTAATAAGTAAGTAGTAAAAATATATAAATATTGTATTTTACGCACGGTTCGCATTCAAAAATTAAAAGCAAAGTTCATTGTCACGCGATAAATCTTTACGAAAAATGTCTTAATCCATCTTAGCGACCGGAATAATACGATGATCAAATATTTACATTGTCTCCACAACTTGCCAGGACCCATAAGGTTGCGGTCTCTCGGGCACACTGTAGTCTCGCCAATAAGATCGTTCCTCTTCGACCATCTCCTTCTTCATTTCCGCGCTTTCGTCGTCATCTTCAGTGGCGTTTCTAGTAGGTTTCCGGAATTCCCTCAATTTTTCTCTCTCGGCATTGGCTCGTTGTTCCTCGAGAATATCTGCTTTCTTGATCGCTTCCTCTTTATCCAATTGTTCCATGAGCTCTTTTTGGAGCATTTCTTCTTTTGCTTCTTCTTCTTGTTCCGCAAAAGTCATGTAACCCTCTTCTGGAGGTTCCCACACTGATTCTGATATATGTCAAATAATGGTTATGAAATGGTCGATAATGATTAAGATAGAATTCAATCAGGATTTAATAATGCATAATATAATGTTGTAAGGAAAAACTAGTGTAAAGACTGAAAAATTTAATAAGATCGTGAAAAATTTAAGATTCTAATAAGAAATATAAAAGAAATAAACATGATCACAAATTCA